TCCAGCTATGCCATTATTCTTAATAAAGAAACTTCATTTTGCCAGGTGTGGTAGTGTACACCTGTAATCTTAGTGGTTTGGGAGGTTAAGGCAGGAGGATCCCAAGTCCAAAGCCAGCCTCAACAATTTAGTGAGGCCCTAAGCAACTTAGAGGGACCCTGTCTCAAAATTTAAAAATGATCTGCAGATGTTTCTCAGTAGTTAAGTCCCCCAGGGTTCAATCCCTGGCACCAAAAAAGAAAGAAAGACGGAAACTTCACTTCTTCATTTTATATCAACACTCGGTTAATGAGGAATCTCAAATAACAAAAAAAAAAAAAAAAATGAAATAACAAGCAGCCATTAAGAGTTATTAGGGCTAAGTATGTAGCTAGCTCTGTGGTATAGCATGTGTATATGTGAGGCCCTGGTTCACACCCCAGCACCAAAAAAGAAAAAATAAATAAAAGTTATTGAATGCTTACCCTAGTGCTTGGCTCTGTGTTAAGTACTTTACGTTGTTTCATTTAATCCTCAACACATGCTAAAGGGGTAGATATTTATTTACTATTATCCTCACTTTATAAATATGAAAACCGAGGCTTAGAGAGGCTAAATCACTTGTTAAACATCCTGTGGCTAGTTGTGCTATAGCCAACAGGAGGGATTCCAGTTGAAGACATTCCAGCTTCAGAGCTGTCTCATTCTTTAAGCAGTATACAATATACATCATGGTTTAAAACAAATGAAAAAGAAACAAATAGTTCCCTGCAAATTATTGTTCTAACCTGGTGCAAAAAAGCAAAATAAACAAAGAAACAAAAACCATGCTCTGTACCGGAGATACTCTTCTTAAATTTCATAGTAATCTTATGGGGCAGGTACTACTGTCTTCCTTTTGTAAAGACACCAAATACTTGGCAACCCTTTCAGTAAGATATGGTGCATGCAGGACTTGGACCCAGGCCAGTGCCAGTTGGTCAACAGTGTTCCAGTGTTCTTCACAAGCTTCTTAGGGGGTTTCCATGAATACCCCAGACAGACATATGTTGCTCTCTGTTCCTGTCTGTGGAGAACAATTTCTTCCTAGGGCAATCACCCAAAGCACTCACCTCTATGGCCTCCTTCTCTGGCTGACTCCCACTGTTCCTCCCAGCTCTCCTCTTTTGAGCTTTCCCTGCTGCTCTCTTCCAAGAAACCGTAGGCTTACTCGATCCAATTTGCTTATACTCTCCTGCTGTCTTCTGTTTTCTTTTGGGGGGAATAGGAATAGGGCTTGGAATAGAACCTAGTGGTGCTTAAACACTGAGGCACATCCCCAGCCTTTTTTACTTTTTATTTTGAGACAGGGTCTCACCAAGTTGCCTAGGGCCTCACTAAGTTGCTGAGAGTGGCCTTGAGCATACACCACTGCAACCAGCCTCTGTTTCTTCCTAATATTCCCTTCTCTATCTCTCCAGGGCTCTGCCACATCACGTACATCATCCAGAAGGGACTAAGTTTGTCCCCCACTGCCTAGCTAGTTCTTGGCACATAGCACATGCCCAGTAAATGTTTTTTTTTTGACACCCAGTGCCTCACACTCTACCACTGAGCTAACCCAGTTCCTCAACAAATGTTTGTAGATATATAAAGACTGACCTCTGAAGTCCTGTACAATTACCAATGAACAAACAGACTCCATTTTGCCCTGAGACTCCATGTCATGTGAGAAATGCTTTCCCCATGGGAACACCGCACCTGTGTACCTATCAACAATTGCTTAGCATAGCATATTGGCAAGATTATTTCTTCCATTATTATACACTGTACTTGAGCAATGTACCCTAACTGCATAGAATGTTAACGTTTGTCTAGGCGTTAGTAACCATTCTTCAAATTGTACTCAAATAGGGTTGTTTTGACCCACTTCCTCTTCTGCTTATGATTTCAGATATCATGATTTTTGTTTAGGGTTATCATAGCATTAGACATTTATGATTAATGTACTGATATGCTTTACTTACCATATAAAAGGTATGCTCTAACCCCTGGAGGGGGTCGAGTAGTGTCAACTTACAGTTTGCCCTTGTCCCTCCAGCTGCTATTCCACGTGCTGGTAAATAAAGATGGTTCTGTCTCCTGCTTTAAGATTGACTCAGTGATTTATTGCAATCTCTCCATAACCTTTTAATTTTACTTCTTGCACTTTAGAAATCTTGTTAAGGAAGTCAGTTCCTTAGCCAACATGTTGGGTGGAGGTTTCCTGATCTAATTCCAAGGTCTTTGATTCACTTTGAATTGAGTTTTGTGCATGGTGAGAGATGGGGGTTAAATTTCATTCTACTACATATAAATTTCCAATTTTCCCAGAGCCGTTTGTTAAAAAGGCTATCTTTTGCTGGGTACAATGGTAACTGCCTGTAATCCCAGTGGCTTGGGAGACTAAGGCAGGAGGATCCTAAGTCCAAAGCCAGCCTCAGCAATTTAGTGAGGCCCTAAGCAACTCGCCTGGCATGCGTGCGGCCCGGGTTCAATCCTTAGCACCACATACAAACAAAGATGTTGTGTCCGCGGAAAACTAAAAAATAAATAAGTAAATATTTAAAAAAAATTTTTAAAATGATCTGCAGATGTTTCTCAGTAGTTAAGTCCCCCAGGGTTCAATCCCTGGTACCAAAACAAACAAACAAAAAGGCTATCTTTCTCCTATGTGGTGGGTTTTTTGTTTTTATTTTTGTTTTTGTATGGGGATTGATTTTTGTATGAGCATTCAACCACTGAGCCACATCCCCAGCCCTATTTTATATTTTATTCAGAGACAGTGTCTCACTGAGTTGCTTAGTGCCTCACCATTAGTGAAGCTAGCCTTGAACTCTGGATCCTCCTGGGATTACAGATAACAATTGTTATCAGATAACAATGTATGTGAGTTTGTCTGCTATTTTGTTCCATTGGTCTTCATGCCTGTTTTGGTGCCTGTACCATGCTGTTTATGTTACTATAGCTCTGTAGTATAACTTGAGGACCAGTATTGTGATGCCTGCTATGCTTTTCTTGCTAAGGACCGTTTTGGCTATTCTGGTCTCTTATTTTTCCAAATGAATTTCAAAACTGCTTTTTCTAGATTTATGAAGAAGGTTGTTGAAATTTTGGTGGGGATTGCACCGAATCTGTATAGTATTTTTGGTAGTATGGCCATTTTGACAATATTAATTCTGCCTATCAAACAATACGAGGGTTTTTTCCATCTTCTAAGGTTTTCTTCAATTTCTTTCTTTAGTGGTCTATAGTTTTCATCGTAGAGTTGCTTCACCTTTTTTTGTTAGATTGATTCCCAAGTTTTTTGGTTTGTTTGTTTTTGAGGATATTGTGAATTTGGTCATTGGAGATAAAAAAAATGATTGATTTATGGATGTTGATCTTGTGTCCTGATACTTTGCAGAATTCATTTATGAGGTCTAGAAGTCTTCTGGTAGAGTGTTTTGGGTCATCTAAATACAGGATCATTTCATCAGCAGAGATAATTTGCACTTTGTGTGTGTGTGTGGTGCTGAGAATTGAACCCAGGGCCTAGTAATGGAAGGCAAGCACTCCACCAACTGAGCTATATATCTCCAGCCCTAATTTGTACTTTTTTTCCCCCTATTTGTATCCCTTTAATTTCCTTCTCTTGCCTGATTGTAGCACCTATTTTTAAATGTTTATAATTAACAAGATATTTATGAGTTTATTTTCTCTACTGACTCAAGTTAATGTTACAAGGCATAAAAACAAGGCAGGCATTCTCCAAATAGCCTTAGACACATTGTCTTCTTTAATAAAGTGCCTCCATGTCTTTGCATGTCATTGCATATTAGAATTATGAGGTAGGTTCTAAGCATAAATGATGAGCAGACCCACTTCACAGATGCACACAGAGGAATCCAGAACTGGTGGCTGTCACAAGATCTATAAGTGGGAGAGGGTGGACTGAATTGTTGATTATCTAACTCTTATGCCATTGCTATTTTCATTACAGCAGGCTACCTACAGCTGTTGGGAAGGGTGAGGACTAGCTCTCCAGTTAGATTTTCCGGGTTCATATTCTTTGTGAGGCTCTAAAAGACTCACAAGATTGCCAATATGTATTAAGTGAAAAAAGCAATGTGGTACGTTGCATTTTACCATTATGCCAAAAAAAAAAAAAAAAAAAAAAAGGAAAGGAAAAAGAAAAACTTTAAAAAAGAGTGTCTGTTTTTGCTTTTTGTGCATAAACTGCTGCATATAACTTCTCCATCTATAAAATATGGGTAGTAGAATTACATTAAATACTATAAATATTAGGACAGCGTCTGCCATCAGAAGTGCCATTTTATTTGGCTTCTCGGTCCAAATAATTCCTTGGCTTAATCATATTCTAAAATACCCTTTAAAAATAATTTTCAATTGGCACAAGCAAGATGAAAACGTGGCAAGCCACAGCAAAATTTAAATTACTTAAAACTGCTTTAAATTACGCTCAATAGTAAAATGGTGAGCCAATATTGAAAGATGTTTGGCAAATCTCAATTATATAACTCAAAGAATCATTACTGTCACCCTTTTATCATAAAAATAACTAAAAAACTTGTTTTTTTCTCTTAAAACACATACTGATGCTTAGTTAAAATTTAAGTTTGACACTCTAAATGATACGAGGAAGTTTAAAGAAAATAGCAAGCAAAATAATTACTTTAGAGTATAACCCCCAAACACATTTGTGAGTCTCAACAATGTTACTGTTTTAACATTTAAATTAGTAAAAAACATACTATATCGCTGTAAAATTGTTCCGGTTATAATAAAGACAGAGGGTTTGGAGCCTGAAAAAAAGTTCAATATTTGCTTCAGTCTTTTAGAGGCCAGGGCCTTATGGGGAGTCTATGGCCTCCTCCAGGGCCCTTTCTTCCGCAGTTTTGGGACGGAGTCAAGTGACCTCMAGGTGGGGGCGTGTCAAGGGGCGGTCTTCCTCTTTGGCGATCTGAGCTGGCAGAACCTATCGCTCTCCTTGAACCCGCCAGGTGCACAGGTGTTTGCGCGCAGACTCGGCTGGCTGCGCCTCCCGGGTAGCTGGCGCCCAGAAGGACCGCCAGCCCCGCCGCGTCCCCGGAGCCACGGGGCGCTGTCCTACGGACCCGCCTTCCGATCCTGCTCAATCCCCCCAGGTCTCGATCGAGGGTAGCAGTGTGAGCTCGCCCCTGAGAACAAATGCAAGATAATTTGACCTCGATGGGTCAATGTTAGGCTCTTAGGCATAATATGAATCGAGATCTTCCTTTCCCCAGGGAAAGTCCTGGCCATAATGTCAACATTAAGAGCCCCCAGAGGTGGTGCGCAGTAGGTTACTTACATATAATCAAGGACTCTTGTAATTTTATTGTTCTTTAGGGGATATTTAAAAAAGATTATAAAGTATTTATAAAGTCTATACTTTTGTATGTAGTTAAGGGGCTTGGGAAAATTTACCTACATTTTGAGAATTTTGGCGTCATTTAAAAAATTTTTCCTTTTTCAATCTGTACGTAATAATGAAAATCTGACTTCCTTATCTATGTTTAAGGAACACTTTTGGACCGTTTCGTTAATTATATTTAGAATGTTGGGTTATTTTTTTCTTCTTCTTTTTTTTTTTTTTTTTTTTTTGGTGTGTTTATGTGGTGTTGCGGTTTGAACCCAAGGCCTTGTGCATGTGAGGCAAGCACTCTACCAACTGAGTTATATCCTTAACCCTGTTGGGTTATTTTCGCCATCCAAAGTAGTAAGGTTGAGGTAGTAGGAAAAACTTTGGGTTGCATTTGAATCCAGAGCTTTAGTTCTTTGTTTTATTTTTCTTTGTTTTTGCAGTATTGGGGATTGACCCAGGGCCTCACACATGCTAGGCATGTTAAGGCAAGCCAGGCAAGTATTCCAGTAGACAAGCTACATCCCCAGATCAGGAGCTGTAGTTTGTATAAATTGTGAAAACTGTTGGCAGTCATCTCTTAAAGAATTCCAACATGCCCCTGTAATCCCAGCTACTAGGGAGGCTGAAGCAGGAGGATCAAAATGCCTCAGCAATTTAGCCAGGCCCTAAGCAACTAAGTTAGACTTGGTTTCAAAATAAAAAATAAAAAGGGCTGGGGGATGTAGCTCAGTGGTAAATTGCCCCTGGGTTAAATCCCCAGTTACCCCTTCCCCCAAAAAATATTCCAAAAAGCACCGAATATACATATCAGTTTAAACTATAGTAGATCCATATTTTCAAACAGAATAATTCAAGTGAAAGCCCACATCTGCAGTTATTATAATTTTAGGATTATATAATAGTACATTTGCAATGAATTGTGCATAGTTCAGAGATCACTTTTCCCACTTTTATTTTTCTAAATTGAAATTATCATCTTTTCTCTTTTTCCAATATCTTTTGACTTTTCATTTCTTTCTTAGATGTTAGTGGTTTTTCTGGGTCCTATGTCCAACTGTCAAATATTCAACTTCCAGTCTTTCTTTAAAATAACCATTTCTGGGCTAGGGATGTGGCTCAAGCGGTAGCGCGCTCGCCTGGCATGCGTGCGGCCCGGGTTCGATCCTCAGCACCACATACCAACAAAGTCCGCCGAGAACTAAAAAAAAATAAATATTAAAAAAAATTCTCTCTCTCTCTCTCTCTCCTCTCTCACTCTCTCTTTAAAAAAATAAAAATAAAAAAATAAAATAACCATTTCTTTACATTTTCAAAAATTTACCATTCCTGTACCAGGCACAGTGGTGCATGCCTATAATCCCAGCAGCTTGGGAGACTGAGACAGAAGGATTATAAGTGGAAAGCCAGTCTCAGCAACTTAGTGAGGCCCTAAGCAACTAAAAAATCAAAAATAAAAAGTACTCAGGCTGGGTCGTGGCTCAGTGGTAGAGTGCTTGCCTAGCATGCATGAGGCACTGGGTTCAATTCTCAGCACCACATAAATGTAAAATAAAGATATTGTGTCCACCTAAAAAAGTATTGAGGATGTGCTCAATGGTTAAGTGTCCCTGGGTTCAATTCTTGGTTCAGTAAATAAATAAATAAAATAAATTTCACCATTCCTGCTAAAATATGTGCCTTAGTATGATCTCTAACAACATATAAACCAAAACCATGTGAGGTATACATTGTAAAGTAGTAATGAAAAATAATAAATCTAGTGTAGTACTCTAATCTTAATCTGAAATAACTGTATAGTTAACATTAGTGTGATCTATTAATATGTGACTGTGAAAGTCTAATRCCAAGGAGAAAAATCATTAATGAATATTTCTTTTTCTAATGAGTTTATTTCTTTTGGTACTAGGGATTAACCCCAGGGGTGTTTCACTACTGAGCCACATCTCCAAACACTTTTTATTTTTGATTTAAGGACAGGGTCTCACTAAACTGCTTAGGGCCTCACTAAGTTGCTGAGGCTGGCTTTAAACTTGCAATCCTCCTGTCTCAGCCTCTGGAGTCACTAGGATTACAGGTGTGGCCCACCATCATCGGTATTAATGAATGTTTCTAATAAATAAGAAAGCAAGGTATTTGCATTGCTCTATTGTATGTGATTGATTTTCATTAGCACTTCTTACCTTGTTGGTTACAAACAGGGATAGGATATCAAGATAATTTTTTTTTCACATGTATATCACTGGCTAACAGTGCTAGGAAAATTTGATGAGACAAAAGAATTTGTGAAAGGAGATGCTAGTAATAAAAACATTATAGAAAAGGCTTTTGTGGACAGAGATTTCATTATTTATATTTCTAGGAAAATTTTGGTTGGTCTAGATTTTTTGATTAAAATTATCAAAGCTGAAAATGAGACAACTAGAAAACTCTTAATGAAGGAATAAAGAAATCTTTTTTTTTTTTTTTAGAAAGTTGTATCTACAAGGAGTAGTAAAACAAGATTTAGGAAGGCTAATTCAGAAGACTTTTTTTCACTTAAAAATAAAAGTGTTGGATTGTGACGAGTAACTAAAAGCTAGAACTTTTTTTTTTTAAGTATATGTATTTTTTTTTTTTTAGTTGTCAATGGGCCTTTATTTAATTTATTTATTTATATGTGATGCTAAGAATTGAACCAGGACCTTATACATGCCAGGCAAACACTCCACCAACTGAGCTATAACCCCAGTACTTAGAACTATGTTTTACAATGAAGTAAAAGACAAACAATCATTATATAAGTTTACCTTTAATTGCTTCCCAGTTGTTTTGTTTGTTTGTTTGTTTATTTATTTTTGTGGTACTAGGGACTGAACCCAAGGCCTGTGCATGTTAGGCAAGCTGTCTACCAAAGAGCTACAACCACTCCCCCTCCCCCACTTTTCATTTGAGATGGTCTTGCTAAATTCTCCAAGCTGGCCTTGAATTTGCCATCTTCCAGTCTCAGCCTCCTGAGTAGCTGGATTGTGCTTACTCCACAGTGCTTCATTTAGAATTAGATGTGTAGTAATTTTTCAAATACTCATTAATAGGTTGGTTTAAGAAGCTGAGGAGTGACTTCTAACTTGAGAGATGTAAATATCTAGTAGTTAATAAACGTTTTTTAGACTGGCATATTGGCATATCCTTGTAATCCCAGTAACTTGGAAGGGAGGCTTGAGCAGGAATATGGCAAATTGGAGGCCAGCCTCAGCAATTTAGAGAGATCTCATCTTGAAAAATAAAGTACCTACCGGTGTTGGAGCTCATCAGTAAAGTTCCTCTGGGTTTAATTCCCAGTACAAAGAAAAAATTTTTTTTTTGTTTTAGCTCAGCGGTAGAATGCTTGCCTAGCATATGTGAGGGAGGCCCTGGGTTCAATCCTCAGCACCACTCTCAAAACAAATAGACAAATGCTTTTTTCAATCCCCAGCATCAGAAAACAAAACAGCAGCAAAAAGTGTTTCTTTTCTTAAAGAAATATTTCCCAGGGCTTGCCATTGGCAAATGCCAAAGCTGAACAGCTGATGCCCAGCTACCAGAGAAGCTACTAGAGAAGCTGTGAAACAGAAGGATCACTTGAGCCCAGGAGTTGGGGGCCTGCTTGGGCAGATCTTAAACAAAAAAACAATGACCAAAATAACACACACACACACACACACACACACACACACACACATTCCCAAGGGCCAAATCTCATCCAATCTCATACTATATTTAATGCTAAAATGCAGATACAATCAATAGGATAGAAAAGTAGAAAATAAAGGCATTAACTTAATAGTCTAGGTCATTTTTGAAAAGCAGTGGTTTCACAGCAAGTGTTAAGAACAGAATACTGGGTGGATAAATTTGCTGATGCTGTAGATCTTAGTCTGTACGTGAGATCATGTGGAAAGACTGAATTTGAAAGATTCTTTAAAGTTTCTCATGTTTGCAATCAAATGACTGTACACTTTAAAAAATGTACCACAGGAGTAGACACACACACACACACACACACACACACACACACACACACACTCTCTCTCTCTCTCTCTCTCTCTCTTTTAGGATCTTCTTATTGCAACAAGACTAGATTTACAAGTAAAGCTAATTGTAGGATTAAAGTCTACTCTAAACTAAAATAGTGGACATCAGGAGTGCCCCGGGAGGTGAAGTACATTACAGGCTTCGGTAAAAACAGCTGGTTCTGAATGGCACAAACCAAGAAGCCAGTTAGGGAGCAGACTGATCGCGCTCAGGGCCACCGAGCTGAAAGCCCTCCAGGATTCCTGAGCCGCGAAGGCAGCCCCCAACCCTGGCCCTCCGCCCCAAGTCCCTCGGGTACAGGGACCTCGTACTCGTCTCCAGGGAGCAGGAGCACGGAAGGCGGGGGCGGAGGAGGAGCCAGTCCCGGACCCCGGAGCGACCCGCGGGGGAAGCGGCTCTAGAGGGTTGTCCCAGGCGAGCAAGAAGGCGAGGCTGAGTACGCTGGGTGGGGGATAGCCCAATCTCCATATGACCTTTGAGGTTAAGCCAGGAATGGTACAGGGAAGATTCTGGACATACCCTCCTGACTGCCCCACCCGCCGGCTGAAGCGGAGAGTAATTCATACAAAAGGGGGACTCGCCTCTGCCTAAGGGAATCCCAGGGACCGTCGTTAAACTCCCATTAACCTAGATGCGAGACAGATCGCCTTGTCCCTGCCCCCAGCCTCTGGCTCTCAGCATCAGCGGGATCGAGAGGAGCATGCGCGGGGAGCTGTGTGCGGTGAGTGGGCTGAGTGCACCTCGCCCACAGTCCCCGAGAAGTGGTGGGGGGAGGGGATGGCAATTGAACCGGTGCCTAGTGGAGGTGGCGCGGGGTAAGCTGGGAAAGTGGTGTCGTGTGCTGACTCCGCCCTTTTCCTCGAGGGTGGGGGAGAACGGTATATAAGTGCCGTAGTCGCCCTGAACGTTCTTTTTCGCAACGGGTTTGCCGCCAGAACACAGGTGAGCTCCGGGTGTGGCTTCCGCGGGCCTGGCCGCCTTCAGTGGGTTGAGGCCCTCGCGTGCTTTCTCTACCGCCATGCTACTGGGCCACTTTACGAGGTTCTTACCCCGAATTTCGGGTTATTTGGGGGTTGGGAGAGTTCGAGGTCTTGATTTTTTTCAAGAATCCCTTCGCCTCGTGCTTGGGTTGAGGCCTGGCTGGGGCGCCCGGGCCGCCGCGTGCGAATGCGGTCGCACCTTACCGTCCAGTGCCCGCCAGCTGCCCAGTTTTAAGGCTTAAGTTTCCACGTGAGTCGTTGGGGCCTTTTTGTCTGCCGAGAGTGTCCTGCTGGTCCTGTGTGGGTCCGAGTCTCCACGGGCTCGTCGTCCGGTTCTTGGTCGTGGGGCGGCGGCGGGCCCGCCCGTCGGGCGCACATGTCCAGCCGGGCCTCGGGGAGGCGAGGCGGGGCCCTGCGAGGCGGCGGACGTGGGCTCGGAGGAGCGGGCCGGTCGGGCCGGGTGCCCGGCCTCTGGCTCAGGTCGCCCCACCCTGGGCGGCGAGGCCGGCCCGCTCGGCACCAGTTGCGTGCGCGGAAAGATGGCCGCTCCGGCCCTGTTGCAGGGAGCTCAAAATGGAGGACGCGGCCGCCCGGGAGAGCGGGCGGGTGAGTCACCCACACAAAGGAAAAGGGCTTTTCCCTCCTTGGCCGCTGCTTCCTGTGACCCCGCGGCGTACCGGGCGCCGTCCAGGCACCTTTATTTTGTCTCCCAGCCTTTGGAACTCAGCTTCTTTGGGCTGGGGGAGGGGACTTCTGCGCGATGGAGTTKCCTCACACTTAGTGGGTGGAGACTGAAGAGTTCGGCCAGCCTGGCACTGGATGTAATTCTCCCTGGAATTTGCCCTTTTGAGTTTGGACCAAGGGTTACCCTCAACCTTCTCGGGACAGTAGTTCAAAGGTGCTGTTTTTAATCCTTAAATATCATTTTAGGTGTCGTGAAAACCACCGCTAAATCAAAGCCAAAATGGGAAAGGAAAAGACTCACATCAACATCGTTGTCATTGGACACGTAGATTCGGGCAAGTCTACCACTACTGGCCATCTGATCTACAAATGTGGTGGGATCGACAAAAGAACCATTGAAAAATTTGAGAAGGAAGCTGCTGAGGCAAGTACAATAGCAAGAAGGGAAAATGTTAAAATACTGTTAGAAGTGTTTTAGAAGTGGAGTTAAATTTTCTTTTTGTTAAAGTTCTTAATTGCTTAGCTTTGTTCTGACAGTGTAGAGTCAACAAAGGCTATAGATTGGAAAACGGAACCATTTGTGCAAAATAGTGGGGGCATGGAATTTCAACTTGGTTGGTTTTCCTAACTAYGTAATTCTAAATCATTACAGATGGGAAAGGGCTCCTTCAAGTATGCCTGGGTCTTGGATAAACTGAAAGCTGAACGTGAGCGTGGTATCACCATTGACATCTCCCTGTGGAAATTTGAGACCAGCAAGTATTATGTGACTATCATTGATGCCCCAGGACACAGAGACTTTATCAAAAACATGATTACAGGCACATCTCAGGTACGTGGGATGGAACAACTAAATGACTAAAAAA